AAAACAACAAAAAGTTAAAGTTATGGAATGAAAAAGTATACATTAATGAATACTTCAATGAACAAACTTTCGTAAGCAGTTTTTTATTAAAACTTTTATTAAGTTAAAAAAAAAATTTTTTGATAACTTTTTTAATATGATTTGCGAAACAGAAGATTTTTTTAACCTTATTTGTTTAACTGAAACTTGGTGTAAAAAAGATTTTAAATCGAACTCTAAAGCTTGGTTTCCAATAGTTGTAGAAATGTCGTACAATAGTTGTACAACAATAATGCTTTATAATGGAAACATTTTCTTGCGTAAGTTGCACAACTTAACGTCGGTTGTGCAACAAAATTTATGTTATAAAACAAAGGTTGTTTTTTCGGCAACAATTGTTGTGCAACAAAAACGCACAACTGTTGCACAACATTTCTACAACTATTGGAAACCAAGTCTAATCTCCATCTTCTAGGTTTAATACAGTGTTTTTAGGGCGTAATGTTAATAAACGTGGAGGAAGAGTACTTTTTTACATAAAAGAAAAAATTGCGTATAATATTACCCACGAGATGAGTGTTTCTGATGAAAATATCGAGATTGTAACGGTTGAAATAATAAACAAATAATCTAAAAATATTTTAATAAGTTGCTGCTATCGGCCACCGACTGGAAGAACTGAGTAAGTAAGCAAATATCTAATAGGTAATTTAATAGAAAAAACTAACCAGGAAAAGAAAAAAAATTACATACTTGGCGATTTCAATTTAGACTGTTTGGGATAGTCCATAAATTACGTCACGCATTTTTTGACAGATATTGACCTCCCTTCCCCTCGTCACAAAATCGTAACACTTAAGAAGCAAGTTTTGTATGAGTCGTCACAAAACTACCAACCCTCCCCTCCCACTTATAGCGTGACGTAACTTATGGACGACCCCTTTCCATTATAATAAAAAAACAAAATATAACAAATTTTTATAGTTATTTATTCCAAACAGGAACATTACCCATTATTGATAAACCTATTAGAATAACAAATCATTCGTCCTCTTTAATTGACAACATTCTAACCAATGACATTTTTAATACAACGCTTAAAAAAGGCATTGTAAAAACCGATGTTTCTGACCATTTTTTTATTTTATTCTGCATAAGCGCAAACAGCAAACCAAGTATGCAAGGAAAGGTAACAATTAAAAAACGTGTTTAAAACAACACTAACCTAAATTTATTTAAAGAGCAACTTTTGAATCAAGACTGGAGCTATATAAATTTCAATGACGGTATAAACCTCATCTATAACTCTTTTTTTAAAACTTTTTATTAAACCTACAACGAAAACTTTCCATTGCGTGAAACAATTCTTAACGCCAAAGACCTATCTTGTCCCTGGATAACTAAAGGAATTAAAAAGTCCTCAAAAATAAAGCAAAAACTCTTAGTAAAGTATCTAAAAACTAAATCAGAAAAGCATAAAATCACTTACACAGTCTATAAAAATTTATTTGAAATACCGCAAAAAAGCCAAAAAATTTACTACTCGGACTTGCTTATGAAGCACAAATATAATTCAAAGCGAGTTTGGTATCTAATGAAGGATATTACTGGTAAACATAAAACATGCACAAAATCTATGCCGGCTGCAATAAAAATAAAAAATAAAATAGTTAACGATTCGAAAGAAATTGCCACCGAATTTAACAAGTTTTTTCAACAATAGGGCAAAGTCTATCAAGTAAAATTTCTTATGTAGACATTAACTCCGTTGATGAATTTATTTTATTAACAAATTCAACTCAACTTTTCAAATCTAACATTTAGTGAATTTAAAATAGCATATAAAGCAATAAAAAGAAATAAAATAAACTGGGCCTGATGATATAAATGGAAACATTATAATCGTCTCTTTTGATGCGATTAAAGATATTCTTTTTAAAAGTTTTAGAACATCTATTACTTAAGGATCTTTTCCAGATAGTTTGGAAATAGCAAAAATAACTCCGATCTTTAAAACAGGCGACCCTACAAACGTAACAAATTATCGTCCTATCTCAGTTCTACCAGTCTTTTCAAAAATATTAGAAAAAATAATGTACAACAGATTGTACGCTTATCTTATTGACAATAAACTTCTTTATAAAAATCAGTTTGGTTTTTAAATTAAAAGTTCTACTGCACGCTATTCTCCAATTAACGCGCAATATTGCCGACTCTTTTAAGAATTCTCAATTTACTCTTGGCATATTTATTGATTTGTCAAAAGCTTTTATCACTGTTAATCACCATATTTTACTGAAAAAGCTAGAAAGCTATGGTATAAGAGATGAAACCCTAAACTGGTTTAAAAGTTATCTAAGTAACCGTAAACAATTTGTTTATAACAAAGAATCTTCGCCTTAATCTTTAACGAATATAACATGTGGTGTTATCCAAGGATCAATACTTGGGCCACTCTTATTTTTAATATACATAAATGATCTTTACAAAGCTTCTAATTTAGCGACTATAATTTTTGCTGACGATACGAGTTTATTTCAGTCAAACGAAGACATACTTTTTGAAATACTTTTTAACAATATGACTGAGGAACTTAAAAATATTTTATATTGGTTCAAAAAAAATAGGTTGTCTTTAAATACCGATAAAACAAAATGGATACTTTTCATCCAACTTTTAAAAAAAGAAAATTCAAAATATCTTGCCTGACTTATATATTGACAGTACAATAATAAAAAGAGAAAAAAATAGAAAATTCTTAGGAGTTATAAAATTGATAATTGATAATATTTCAATGAAAATTGCTAAAAGCATTGGAGTTCTATATATATATAGTTAGACATATATTAAATAAACATCAATTAACACAACTATATTATTCATTTATTAATTGCCATTTAAATTATGCAAATTTAATATGGGGAAGCGCTCACAAAACCAAACTTAAATCTCTCTATCGACATCAGAAACACGCAGGTCGCACAATTAATTTTGCGAATCGTTCTTCAAGCTCAACACAACTTCTTAAAGAAATGAAAGTTTTGAATATTTACAAACTAAATGTTTTAAATATTTTATGTTTTTCGATTTTTCTTTTAAATGGTCTTATTCTTCTTTTAAACGAAAAGTAAAAGAAATTATCTTTTCAACACAAAATATTTATATCTATTTTTAGTATTTAAGTTGTTTTTTTATTTATTTTGATTTATAGTTTATTTTGTTTATTATATAGACTGTGAAGAATTTTAGAATATTGTATTCTTTTTGTTATATAGATTGTAAAGGGCTTCATGATAAGATCCTGTGATCTTCTAGAAGTCCTGCCGGTAATATATTCAATGTAAATTTACCTTGTACATATTCTGGCAAATAAATAATAATAATAAAGAAATTTGACGATATATTTTAGCTTGATTAATTTTTACATATGCGTGATCCAAAAAATCAGGAGCTAGTTCGCATAATTCATATAATAATTGACTTATCAGCCGAGACTTGGAAATTTTCTCGATATTGCAATAAACGTTACCGGTTTTTGCATTTAATCTGGTGGATTTTTGCATTCCATCTATGGTTTTTTTGCATTCAATCTGGCGGTTTTTTGCATTTAATCTGGCGTTTTTTTACATTTAATCTAGTGGTTTTTCTTTATTATGATAAATAGTTTTGTTATTTTTTCTTCATTTAAAAAACCGGTAGCTAAATTTTGAATTTATATTTATATCAATTTTAGAACATATAAAGTATATATTATAATAATCCACAGGCATAAACAGTCAAAGAAAGATTTCATTAAATCACGAATTTTTATGATAAGAAACATTTTTATGATAAGACATTAAACTGCGTTAACTTTGTTAAATTTATTAAATTACGTTATATTATGTAACGTTATATATTGCATTTTATTATGTCATTGTAACTTAATGAACTTTAAATGTGTTATATATATATATATATATATATATATATATATATATATATATATATATATATATATATATATTTATATATATAATATACTGTTTTCAATATACATTTTGTATATATTTATATATGAGACAAGATGACTCTTTCTAGAGCAACTTAACAGAAAAATTATATATTATGACATAAGAAGCCATCTTGTTTCGATCACGTAACCAGACTTGTAAACAAATAGAATAATCAAAATTGTTTTTAAGTTTTATAATACTTGCTCGCGCAGGCGCAGATAGACCCACGGGTCTATGAGATCGTAGTATTATGATATTATTTAGTTCTTCTGATATTTTTTAAATTTTTAGTCAAGGTATTCCTTATTACAAAACACCGCGGATGGGCATTTAACTAGTAAGTTCACCATTTCTTACCAATGTCGCTTATCTGGCCAGAGCCGGCACCGAACGTCGAACGTAGTACCAGAAAAATAATACTCTAACCACCGCACCTCGGCTGCTATAAATACTTCTCTAAACCTTTTCTAAAAATAAAGATATCAATAAATTTTAGAGAATGTCTTTTTGATATTAGATGATTTTTAAATACATAACAATTTGATGGGTTAGTAACACAAAAACCTAACTACAAAAATTTTTTTTTTCAGTTAAGTATGAAGAAATACTTACCATAGTCCTTTCTACCGGTAATACAAAATCTCCTCAATAACTACCAGTTTAATAAATATCCATAAATGTATCTCATAATTTTAAAATAATGAAAATAACACAACAACGCATTAGCTGATACATCTTGTCTATCTACATTTGACAATTCGTAAATACGTTTTTGTGTTATTAACCCAATCAATTTATGTAGAAAATTTGAATTATCAAAGTTTTAGCCTCCTCTGTCCTTAAAGTATTAACTTGATTCATATTATTAAGAGTTTTCCAATAAAAATAATGAACTTTTGAACTTTTAGCAAACCCATAAAACGAAAACTCATTATTTTAAACGCTTGATTATATGCCCTTAACTATCATTTAAAGCCATAGAAGATCCATTTATATTAGCATCGTCAATTACACCAAAAACAAAAGTTAAAAACAAAACTAAAGCATCTTTCAAATATTAATAACAAAAAAAATATATATATAAACATTGTCCGTTGATTGTTTTTCTCCCAAGCTTTCTATGGCTACGTTTCTATGGATACATCTAGCTTTTTATGACTACGTTATCGCTTTTGGTCAGAATTCCTGATTAAAGGTGCAGGAGAATTATCATCAAACGTTGCACCTCCATTTATTCTCCCTAGTTTTTCTGAAGAACGCAAATGATCGTATCGAGTTAATGTGACAGATTTTTTATCCAGGTTTGAATTTTTTACAGAGAGCTCTAAGCTTTTCTCGTCATCATACATTAAATCATTTCTACATTCATTATATATTCGCTTTTTGCGATCTAAAAATCAAATATACATGCATACATACATAATATATACAGTAAACTGCCTTGCGTACATTGGAGGTAAACAATTCTGTTAACACATTAAGTGTTTGAGTTATCTGGTATACCCAGTCCTTCAAGCATTTTATAATTGAGTACTTATTAGTGTATTACATTTATAAGTTCATATATCTAAAAAATGCAAATTAAAAAAAAATAAATATTTAAAACAAAAGTAACTTGATTTTTATTAAAAACGATTAATATAGACTTAAAGTATTTTATCTAACAAATATAAAGATTTATCGCTGACAGAGACATAATTTATATAAATTTACCTCTGACATAGAAACATATGCTTAGTTCCAACATACAGGTATATAAGTTTACCTCCAATATATACAGATATATAAAAGTTAACCTCCGACAAACAGGTATACATAAAAATATAAATATTTAATACATATAAAAATTTACTTTTAAGCACATATATAACTATTAGAACAACAGCAACCGTAGATAGTGACACTAGAACAATCATCAACGCATTGGATTTAGTTTGTAGTGTTTGACATTGATCTCCAGAATAATTCTTTGAACATCTTAATGAGTATAAAACAAATAATTTTATTGTAAAAGAAGTTTGCAATTTGCTAGTACAAAGAAAATTTCTATGATGAAATTTTTACGTACAAAATTACTTTATTATGATGAAATATTAGATACTTACAAAACTGTTCTATGTATGTCATTAATAGGTATATTCATATATTTTTATATTTACTTAAAAATAAATATACAGCATATGTTCGTATATACTTGAGAAATGTGTTAATTATGATTGGCTAAAACGTTTTAATCCAAAATAAAGTAAAAAATAACAGTTGTGAACATATTAGGAAAAAAAAAGTTGAAGAGTTAAACTGCACTGTATAAAACATCCCCATCATGGTTTCCATGGTTACCATCATGGTTTTTACATATAAAGCGCTCACATATGAAAAGAAATATTTACTAGTTTATCACCAGATTGTATTAGTTTTTGATAATTGATCATTGATTTGAAAGGATTGTTAAAAGGTATATAAAAGGATATTTTGAAAAAATACAATTTTTGCATTCTTTTATTTTACTTTAGAAACAATAAAAATTTAGACCGTTGTAAACAAAAAGAGAGATTAAAGAAACAAAATTAATAGAAATAAACCGATGCAATTCAGCAAATAAAAATTATTAATTTTTTAATTAAATATATATCTTAAGTATCTTCAATTAAAAACTTTATTTATTCCATTGTTTAAATTTTTCTTTACTTCTTTTTGATTTTCTAGATTTAAATGATTTTCTCAGTTTTTTGATATTTTCAACCATTAAATGCTGACTAATTAGCTATAATTGAGTATGATGTACTTAATTATGTATGCATAATTAGTTTGAAAATCAGTGTATGACCTGCAAAATGCAGGTCATAAACTTTAATTAACATAATTAAACAAAAATTTTATAGTAACGCTGTATAAATCTTTTTTTTTAATTTTAAAATGTTAAAAACATTTAATCGAAGAATATATATGACACCCTTAATCTAAGAATGTTTAACACCTTTTAATCGTAGATTAATAATAAATGTTCCTCATTTACATAAATATTATTAAATTTTGAAAATATTGAAATATTTTCAAAATTATTGAAATATTTTCAAAATAAAAATAGAAAAATTGTTATTGATCCTCAAGTTAGCAGTTACCTGCATACTGGTCCTGTTTCTTTTAACTGACAACTACCACCATTTTTGCAATAATGCAAGGAGCATTGATCTAAAAAATGTTTAATAATATATGTTTTATATAAATTATTTTTCTAAACATTATTTTTATTGTTTGATAAACATTATTTTTCTAAGTTTTTTATACTTATTTTAATTAAAAAAGAAAAAATATTTCCCTTAGAAAAATATTTTAAAAACATTTGCATTATTTTCCTTAAGTTTAAACAAATAAAATACTTAAGCTTAAAAAAAAAGACATCAAATAACTTACTGATACATCTTTTTTTGTCAGGACTAAGAACTTTTCCATCTTTGCATCTGCACTCATTAAATGTTGAATTTGAAAAACACTCCTGTCCTTCAGGACACCCTTTGAGCTCACAAGTATCTAAATTGCACATAAAATTTATTTAAAAATAAATATGCATGCAATTATATTTTTACAAAAAAAAAATGCATACAATGATCTCTCTCTCTCTCTCTCTCTCTCTCTCTCTATATATATATACATATATATATATATATATATATATATATATATATATATATATATATATATATATATATATATATATATAAACTAAAAAATATTAAAACCATTTAGTTTTTTTGTGCATAAAACGTTAAACTAATTTATTTTCAAGAATATAATTAATTTATTGTTAACATAATTAATACATTTTTGTTACAATTATGTATTACAATACAATTATGTTAACATAATTAATACATTGGCATAATTTAATTTTGATGTTATGTTAAAAATGTGTTTTATACTTAATTTAATTTAAAAAAATTTTTGAAATCTCAAAATAAAAAATAATTTGCATTTTTTTCTAAAGTTTAAACAAATAAATTATTTAGGCTTAAAAAAATACAAATCCAATAACTTACAGATACATTCTTTTTTGTCAGAACTAAGAACTTTTCCATCTTTACATCTGCACTCATTAAATGTTGAATTTGAAAAACATTCCTGTCCTTCAGGACACCCTTTAAGCTCACAAGTATCTAAATTGCACATACAACTTATTTAAAAGTAAATAAAAATATGCATACAATGCAAAAGTTCAAATTAGATTTTTGAAAAGCTCTTTAAAAATACTAAATTTGTTCTTAAATTTTAAAAAAAGTTGTGTTTATTTTTTGATTTAGTTATTTTTTATGTAAATTTTTGAAGAGAATAGTCTAAGTTTTTCTATATATAAATTTTTTATAAAGATAAAAAACCACCCTCTACATCCAACCCCCTTCCAAAAGAAGTTTTTTTTTTAAATATACATTACTGCCTCTAAGGTGGCCTAATATATACTCAAGTTAACTTTAATCCAGGCTTTGACTTTATATTAGCAATTAATTATAAGATAGAAAACTATGAAAATATGAATTTCAAGTTTAAAAAAGGTCTGGAAAATTCTAGTATACTATTTACCTGAAATTTTTTTAGCTCCTTTTTAGTTGTGCTTTTTTCATTTTAATATTCTGATATGTTTTATAATTAATATTCTGATTTTTATATATTTATTTTAGTGTTATTAATTTAACTATTATATATAATTTTATTTAATTAATCTATAACAAGGTTGAAATTTATTTAATTGTTTATCATTTGTATATATGTTATGATTATAAGTATTATTATTATTATATTATTTGTATATTTTCATTTGTATATATGTTATGATTATAAGTATTATTATTATTATATTATTTGTATATATGTATTATTATTATTATATTATTGTAATTATATAATTGTAAAATTTGAGGAAAATCTTTTTGTTGTTTGTTGTTGTTACTTAATAATTGCAAAAATATTTAAAAAAATATATAACGCAAACCCTTATCTATCAAATGATGCATACACATTTCTTCAAAAATCCTTTTTTTTTTTTTAAATATATTCACTTCCAACAAGGCTGAAACTAACCACTATTAGAGTCAGAAAATACTGGAAAAGGAAGTATGAAGTTTATAAAACAAGATAACGACGAATTTTAAAAGATTTCAAATGAATCAGAAAAGATAAGGAGAGCGAATTGCAAAGATGTTTGAGGAAAGAAACCAGATGAATAAGAAATTTTGGAGTTCTTAGGAACAATCAGAATAAAAGAATGAGACTTAATTGAATAACGAGTAACATGTGAATGAATTTTAGTAGATGACACAAGATAATACTATAATGGGTACTGCTCTTGAGAGCAGTACCCATTATAGTATTTATAGAAAAGAGAAAGAGAGGCAACATTACGATAATGTAACAATGGTTGAAGGTTGGCTGCAAGAGCAGGTCCAAATTTATCAAAGACTTTAGAAATGTTGAGAGCAATAGCCCTAACCCCTCCACATCTATCTAATGCACAATAAAACCTATCGGTTATTACTGTTAGCAAATCAGCTGTAGAACGACAAGATTGAAATCCATATTGATGATCAGAAAGTAAGTTATTAGATTCAAAATGAGAGATTAAGTGTTTGTTAATTAAAGATTCAAAAACCTTGCTTATGATAGGAAGAAAACTAATGGGACGATAGCTAGACGAATCAGATCGCTGTTCAGAATTTTTAAAAATAGGGATAACAGATGCCACTTTCCAGCAGACTGGAAAACAAGACTCTGATAAGCACATGTTGAATAGTTTTGAAAGTTTAGACACCAACTCAGGAGAACACTTCTGCAAAACTATAACAGGTATGCTGTTCACAAGCTGTAGAAGAGTCTAAACAGGAAATCACTTTAGTTACAGAAGCTGAAGTAATATGAATGTCAATCAATGAATCAACCTGTTTGTCAGCTATATCAGGAAGGATGCGATTGATGGAATTAAGAGACGAGATTGATGAAAACAAATAATTCAGCTTTGTCTTTAGGTGAGGTAACAAAATCTTAACTATGCCAGAGTGGAGGAATAACAGATTTGTCCTTATTATAGATACTGTTAAAGATGCTCTCGAAATCTGTAGCCTAATTCTTCAGATTAAATACAAGATTTTCTGACCTGAGAATAGCGAGCTTTGGGATATGGAAGTAATGGTCACAATGGGAAATTGCAGCAGCTCAATAAGTGGAAATTGTCTGACAATCTCTATGTATAAAATTTGCTTATGAAGAACTTTTTTTTTTTTTCAAAGAGAAAAATAAAAATAATGTTTATAAAAACTAAATGATTATCAGGTCAAAAAATATCTTTATAAGTATCTTTTATATAATATGTCCCTGATTGTAGATTACACATAAATATTATTTATGTGTACTTTATACTGAATGAAATACTGAAACAGTCATTTGCAAGGGCTTGACACACTGAGGTATGGATTTAAGAAGATAAAATCTAGATATGAACAACATTTATAACAGAATAATTTTTTATAAATAACTTGTTTAAAGTGGGCGTTTTTAAAACTTAAAATATGCAAAGTATGTTAGGAAAGTACTGCAGCATTACCATAACATTTTTCACCATCAGGACTCTTTTGTTTTCCAACTGTACACTTGCACTCAACTCGAGTATCATAACTGCATACTTGTTCCATTGGGCAAACAATGTGTTTACAACGATCTAGGCATATAATGATAAAATTTATAAAAAAAAATTTTAAATTATAACTTTTTTATAATGAGCAAGAAAATAACCTGCAATTAAACTATCTGGATCAACAGTAAGTTTGTAAAATTGTTGTGATTTAACTGCAGAATCGAAAGCAAAAAGTGGATCTTTAACAGATGAGTTAAATCCTAATGTTAAGTTTGCAACAACACTACCAGAACTAAGAAGATAATATATATATATATATATATATATATATATATATATATATATATATATATATATATATATATATATATATATATATATGCATACATATATATACACAATACTATAAAGTAATGCAAATATAAACTTAGTATATGATATAAAAGTAGTTTACATAGTAGCATAGTACTTAGAAATTGAAACATAAATACTAATAACTATTAAAAAAATTTTTTTTTGAGGGACTAGGTAGAGAATTTTTAGTATAGATTTTATTCCAAAAAAATCTAAATCTTAAATATATGTTTATAACTTGCTTGACCTGAACAACAATTACCTTAGTTTAGTAATGTTCACAAATAGCAAATAACTCATATTCAAGTACACACCATAAACCTAAAGAAAAAAAAAATACAATAAATAGTATTAAAAAAAACACACACAATAAATCATTAATAAAAATAAGGTATAAATAACATCTCAGTAACATAAACATTTATAATACTTCACAAGACTATGCTATTACTATATAATCACTTACTGATTCAATTATTTTATATGCTACATCTCTGTACTCAACTGAATTTTGGTTATAAAGATTATCACTCCATGTTAGTGATGTAATTGCTACTTGGACATCATAATATTTTGAGTCAGATGACTTTTCTAAATTTCAATCACATTTAAAGAAAAAGACAAAAAAATGTTTTCATTGATAAAAATTTTCCTTAAAACAATACTAAATAGTATTACAACAATAAAAAAAGATATTCTATTTATTTTTACGAATTAATAATATGTAATGTGTGTATATATATATATATATATATATATATATATATATATATATATATATATATATATATATATATATATATATATATATATATATATATATATATATATATACATACATATATATACATATACAGTAGTGTTCGATTTATTAGAAACACTAGTTCGGTTTATTAAAACTTAAATAAATGAATATATTTATTGCATAAAAATAAGTCTTATTGAATAATTTTAGGAAACAATGTTTTATTATATTGAAGTGACATTAAATGTTTTTCTTTAGGAATTGCCACTAAAGTTGAGTAATTAGTAATCATAAATTATAACTGACGTAATCATGAAATTATGTAACAATTATGTCAGCGTTAATAAGATGAAAATTGAAGGAAATGATCAAAACTTGAGTAATTTTGTTGTTATGTTATGTTTTGTTGTTCAAAACTTCAAAATTCATACCATTTACAATTTAAAATATTTTATTAGTAAGTGTATTTGTTATTTTTGTCATTATTTGAGAGTTAATATCATAAATTTTAGATTATTGAAGATATAATTCATATAAAACAATTTTAATGGGGAAATTAAAGGATTTATCGGAAATTAAGAAAGCCGAAGTTAGATCCTTACTTAAAAACACCGAATTCAGTTAAAGAACTATAGCAGCGGCTACTGAAGTCAGTGTTGCAACGGTTTTCTGTTTGAAATTATCAATGACTGCTACTTCTACAACATCCTTCAGGTGAAATTGTGGTCGAAAATAGAAGACATCTCGACAGGATGAATTTTTATATTTTGCGCGAAGTTATAAAGAATCGTTCCATAACATCCACGCAATTAAAACAAGGTTTGGAAGAGAGAGAAGTCTCTGTTGCATCATCAACAATACGTAAAGGACTTTTGGAAAATGGTTTTCGAAGTTACTCTGCGAAAAAAAAACCAATTTTGTCAATTCAAATGAAAAAGACAAGATTAGCATGGGCTATATAACATCGTGATTGGACTGAACATCAATGGAAACAGGTATGAAAAAAATTAAATTAAAAAATTTTTTTTTTTAATATATTTGATAATAATACTTGCAATGGCCACTTAAACATATTTATTTTTAGGTAGCATTTGGCAACGAGAGTATGTTTGAAACAGTTAATATAAGAAGGAATACAGTACGCAGGCGTTCTGGAGAGTCACCTCTTCAAGTCAAACATCCACAAAAGGTCGTGATGGGGATCATGTCCATCCATGATCATGGGAAGCTCCATGTTGTTGAAGGCATGATGAATGCTGAACAATATTCAACTGTTTTATTATTGAAAGCAATCCCGCAAATGAGGGATTGCTTTCAATCAAAAAGTGTATATTTATGCACGACAAAGCTTCATGCTATACAGCGAAAAGAATTACCCAGCAACTTCTTTTGGAAGGGTTAAAGATCCTTTCATGGCCGGGAAATAGTCCCAACATGATCCGCATCGAAAATATTCGGAGTATTTTAAAAGCTAAAGTTAATAGACTACCTCATATTAATAAAGAATTACTAATTTCATCGATTTTTAAGATTTGGGAGGAAGACAATGATATTAAGATGTATTGCTCATCCATGGTGAAACCTATGAAAAATCAAATGAACGAGGTCATTAAGGCCAAGGGTGGACACACCAAATATTAAATATATATATAATTGTTAAGTGTTTTTTTCTCTATCGTTTGGTATATAAAGTTTAACTTTCGTTTTTATTTTTGTTATTCAGTTGTATTTTTAATCAAAAGTGACGGGTGTTTCTGTAAATAAAACACTTCTGTATATATAAATATATATATATATATATATATATATATATATATATATATATATATATATATATATATATATATATATATATATATATATATATATATACATATAAATATATATATATATATATATATATATATATATATATATATATATATATATATATATATACATATTTATAATATATATTTATACATTTTTTATTTTAACAAACCTATACATTGGTCAATGCTTGTAGAAGCTAACTGTTTAGTGGTTAACCCTGCAGGACACTTTGAACAAGTTTTTGCGTTATTGTCATTTTTATAATAACCTATAGCACACTCCATACATTTCAATCCATCACTTGATATCTCTTTTCCAACTTCACAAACAGCTAGTAAAAAAATTTATAAATATATTTATTGTTTATAAATTTTATTTATAATGTTTTAAGATATTACTATAATAGCTACAATATATTTTTATTATAATTAAAAAGATTCAAATTAAAAAAAAAAGGATTAAATACCATAGCAAACAGGACTAGTTGCTCCTAGTTGATATGTTGATTGGTTGTAAGGACAAGGTAAGCATACAGGTTGACTATCATTATTTCTATAGTAACCCATACGGCAGGGTTGACATGTATTGTTAACCAGTTCTTGACCAAGAGTGCAATCATCTGAATTTTGTTAAAATTTTAAATTAATTACAATAAACCTATATATTTATTAAAATTAAATTTGTGGTTATAACTATTTATTTACTTAATATAAATTTTTTATACATGATAATGTAAATTTAATAAAATATTAAAATAAATCTAAAATTATTATTTAATAAATTAGTTTGGTTTTTAAATTAATAAAAGAAAAAAAAAAGTAAAATAATAAATACTTTTGCATTGATCCTTTGTTACAGCTCCTGTTTTTTTAGTTGTTAAACCTAATGCACACGGTTGGCATTTCTCGAACCCAGCAGTTTCTTTATAAAATCCAATTGGACAATCTTTGCACTCATTATTTTCAAGATATGCACCAAAAAGACATTTCACTAAAAACATGAAAATAGTTAACAAATATAACAAAATAATAAATTTATATATGTTAAATATAATCCTTTGGTATATAAACTTTCTCAAAGCAGTAAATACCTAAGGGAAAAATGAAGTTCATATTCAGCTGAGTTCATAAAAAAAAGAAAGAATAAGAGGCATTATTAATTAATTTTTAATTTTATTAAGTTACCAAATTTAATTTCAATACCTAAGTTAATTTACCAATGGAATAACGCGCATAAATATTCAGTAAACATTCATATAAAAAGGTATTACAAAAAAAAAAAAAGTAATTACACATTGCTAAAAGAAACAAGCAAAAATAAACTTACATGGTGTGTAAGAAAATAAAAAATGTAAGCATATTTGTATAAGTATAAATATTGTATTTAATGGAAAGTCAAAAACTAATCCTCTGATGGTTCTGATATACCTTGTGATATACACCGAAATATAAACTTTGTAATAATATTAAAAAATACTATTTATATTAAACTTAATAATTAAATTTTATAAACTTTAATAATAGACTATATTATGTATAATGATATATACTATTATATAAAATTTTTTTAATAGTAATAATAGTGGGTCAATAACTAGTGATATTTTAAACAAATCAAAATAATAATTAAAGCATGCAATTGTTAAATTTGGAACAATAAAAAAAAAAGCAAAATAATTAAAGTAATGCAAAAACTTATTATTATATTATAATATTTATTATAATATTTATGTTTGTTATAATATTTATATTTATTATTATATTTATATTTATTATAATACTTATATTTATTATTATATTTATATTAGGAAGATTATAAAAATGCTTAATATTTTTTATTACTTCAAATAAATAAGCAAACATTTACGCTAGTCAACGACATCACCTTCTGCAAAGTGTCTTTGGCAATTTTTTTTTCCTACTAATGTCCACTCTCTAATCAAATCTTTAGCTGTATCTATGGTTTTGCTACTTCTACGCAAATTTGCTAATTTCCCAAAATTTCTCAATGGGTTGGAGCTGTGGGCAGTTTGGTAGATTCAAGCTTTTTGGTATGAATTTGATGCCTCTCAAATTGTACTACTCTACGGTCTTCTTTCCTGCTGAAAAACTCTGAAACTTTACCTTTAAATACCTTTTGGCTCATTCTCTGTTTGATAAACCGAGATTTAACGTAAATGATAATCGAAGACTAATTACTTCTTTCTTATCCTTAAAGACACTCTTTCTTCCAGGTCCTTTTGCTTGTTCAATAGAGAGCTCTTGTATCATTTTATGACCATATAAACAGTAGTTTTGCTAATTCAGATGTTTTAGTGATTGAAAGTAACAATGCAGAAGGATTTTGTAGATAGTTGTGCATCGAAACAGTTAGAAAAACAAAAATTTTTGTTTGTATTTTGATAACATTTTAATTAAAAGGAATGTTTTGACTCGTTTGATGATGTTTTTAATTAATACGATCATTACTTAATGTAATTACAATAAATACTATTATTGCTTTATGTAATTACATGAAAAAAATAATTTTTAAATGTGTTAGTGACAAGTTTTAAAACAAAATTTATGGTTATGAATTTAACTATCGTAGGCTTTAAAAGAAGTAGTAAAAAAATTTATTTAAAAACCTTTGCATGATTTCTCTTCAGTGGAACCTTCACTAGTTGTAGTTGTATTAGCTGGACAATTGATACACATTTCTGATCCAGCTTCTTTTGAGTATGATCCAAATGGACATTTTTCACAAAGTTCATTTGTAACATTCTTAAATGTACCTGCAGGACATTTAACTGAAAAAAGAGTTTATTAAACTATTATTATTGTTTTCCTATAAACTCATTAATAATACAAAAATTGATAATAATGACAGCAAAAATTCTGATAAAAATATTTATAAGAAAAAAATCAAATGAAATTGTAATATAGCCTACCACAGATGTCATTTTTCAAAATGCTTCCATTATTACATACTGTTTTAACTTCAACATTTAACAGATCAGAACTAATAGAAACATTGTTCACTATTACAGTCATATTAAATTCTTTTGTCTTGATTCCATTTTGAATTTTAGCAAGGTTTGTTTCATTTGTGGCATCAAATGAAATATCCAAGATAAATTTGGGTCCAGTCCATTTTGGATCCATATCTCGTCGAAAGCGTTTAGCATCAGGCTTGCAGCTAAAATTAAAAAACTTAAATTTTAGAAATAAAAAAAAAATTTATCCAAAAAAAAAACAAACAAAAAAGCAATAAAAAATCAAGTAAATATAAAAATAATTATTTCCATCATTTTTTATTAGTAAAGCTATAAAAATGATAATACACATTATAAACATTTAACATTTAAACTTAGACAAATGAACTTACTATTTTATGCTTACCTAACTTTAATATTTTTGAAATCACATGTTGTTCCACAAATTGACCAAACATCTTGCAATTCTGTTATCAATTGCTTAAAACTTTCTACAAAATCGTTTTTGAATGAATCATCGCATGAAGAAGTTGGGAAAGATATTTTGTTTGTAGTAATGGTATTGAAAGGTGTTGTTGCTGAAAAAAATTAGATGCTGAGTTATATATATGCTGCTAATTATAATTATATATATATATATATATATATATATATATATATATATATATATATATATATATATATATATATATATATATATATATATATATATATATATATATATATATATATATATATATATATATATATATATATATATATATACAGTAGCTTTCATAAATTTAAACGCATTCATTTTTTTTTCATATATGTAAGAAAATACTCAAAATAAAAATAAAATAAAAGTGCTACCGCTATGTTTGATATATAATTTAAAAGAGGAAGTAAAACTCTATTATAGAGTACCTTAATTTTTTTTACAGGATGTTTATTACTCATTCTACACCGATTAACACAAAAAAGTTAATAGATAAGCTTGATTTTATTTTGTTCATAAATTTAGACGCACAATCAAAAAAGTCTTATATCTTGTTAATTGATAGTTAATTAGTAGTTTTTTTCCCATATTTCTCATTAATAGGCCTAAATTAATTGATTTTGTCAAAAAACCTTATATAAATATGACTTACCTGGAATTAGTTAATCATTATTTAATAAATAAACAAAAGTTAAGCTAGTTTTGCACTAAAAAGACGCAAAAAATAGGCAAAAGACGTATCACTCAAGGTGAAAGATAGCAAATTATTGCGCACATCAAAGAAGGAACCAAAAGTAATAGAGAAATCGCCAAGATAATTGGATTTTCTGAGAAATGCGTTCGGACAACGAAACAAAACTCTCTTCACACTGGTGGTGCCAGCGAGAAAACGAGGCCAGGTAGACCCTTGTCAACCACCAGAAAGGATAACAGTGTTCGTTTTAGAGCTGTCAGAGCTAATCCAAGAATTAGTTACAAAGAATTGACCACAGAATTCAATACAATGCGAAATACATCTATTTCTCAAAGCATAGTCCGCCGAATACTTATTAAATACAAGATTGGAGTCTACACTGCTTTGAAGAAACCGCTTTTGCGTCCATATGATAAACAAAGGAGACTAAAATGGTGTCGTGAAAGAAGGTATTGGACAATAGAACAATGGGAAAACATTATGTGAAGTGATGAGAGTAACTTTGAGCTTATCAATCGCAAATCTAACATAACAGTCAAAAGAATGGCTCATGAAAAGTATTACGCCAGGTACATTAGACCGACTGTACAAAGTGGAGGAGGCTCGATAGGAATCTGGTCATGCTTCAATTACAAAGGTGTTGGTATGTGCCAAACATTCACCGGAAGAATCAACTCCAGAATATACGTAGAAGTACTGGAAAACAACCTAATTCCATCAATTGACCTGCTTATGCTCAATGATAAACCATGGAAACTTCAACAAGATGGCGCTACTGCACATACTGCATACTATACAAAGGAGTGGTTCAACAATAATAATATCATGACAATATCGTGGCCTCCATACTCACCTGATTTGAACCCGTTTGAAAACATTTGGGCTTGGATTGACCGTGAATTAGCAAAGGTTCAAATTTCCACACTTGGTCAGCTGAAGGAGTTCCTAAAGGAGACCTGGTATGGGGTCCCAGAAGCGATGTGCAAAAATCTTGTTGAGTCTATGCCTAGAAGAGTTCTTAGTTGTATTAAAGCAAAAAGCGGATAAACAAAATATTGATTGGTTCATAAATTACGCCTTCTAATGTATCGTGTGCCTAAATTTATAAATAATTTTTTTGTCTAATTTTTTTAATACCATGTAGTTGTACCTAATTATTACTTAGTATTTTATTACTTAGTAGTTGTACCTAATTATTACTTAGTATTTATCTAATATATAGAAAAAAAACTAAACCGAAATCTTTTTTCGTCATTGTTTTATCGTTAAAAAACTAAAAATTTCTATTCTCAAATATGAGTGCGTCTAAATTTATGAAAACCACTGTATATATATATATATATATATATATATATATATATATATATATATATATATATATATATATATATATATAGTAACTAAACAACCTCTGCCAGACAAAATGGTACTAATTTGTTATCAAAATGTTCAAGATGGATAGTGAATTAACAAGTCAGGCATTCTCAGATATGCAAAAAAACCAATTAGCTCCAGCACCAACTAAAATTTACAAACACACTTGTCTTAAATGGGCCAAGAACCATATAACTTGGAAAAAAGTTTGTTAGTGGTGTAGTGGAAGAGTACCCAAGAAGATCTGAGTTTGATCCCCACCACACCCCTGATAGTACCTCGCTCAATTTATTTTTCCGCACAGCTGCCTTGTTCTTCAAGGTTCATGTTTTGGAGTTAAAAAGCTGAGAGGGCTGTAAACACAATTAGAGAAAAAAAGGAAACCTTTGTGACCATATATGGTTATTTAAAATATTTTTCATTATGATTTTACCTGCTTAAGGTCGCGGAAGTCACTATAGTGGCCCACTTGATTATAAAGAAGGTAAACTTAAATACTAAATTATACTTCCATGTTTAAACTAATTTACTTAAAGTAAGCTTAAGACCATCATTAACAATAATGTAATGTCCATAAAAATAGGCCCGTTAAAACTGAATCTTAAAAAACCAATGCAGGATTACCATATAACTTAAGGTCCTAACACCAGTGAAAATAGAATTAGTAATTATAACAAAATTTAAATGATCATTAAAGAAATTAGAAAAGCATTTTATACTAAAGATTTTTTTAATATATACAATAAACAATTTTAGTACTAAAATAGAAATTGTTTTTTTTTTGAATTTTTTATAACAAAAAACTGTTAACTTTAGCACACAAAAAACTCCCTGAACTCTTTCCCCTTCCTTCCTAGGAGGGGGCAACAGAGAGGTAAAGTCGCTCAAATTATTTTTCTAGAACAACACTTGTGAGTATGTATGTGTGTGTATATATATAATTACAAATATATATATATATATATATATATATATATATATATATATATATATATATATATATATATATATATATATATATATATATATATATATATATATATATATATATACACACATGTATATATATATATACATGGGTGATTCTACGGTGGAAAATGAAGAAGTAGTAAAATTTTATTATTATTTTGTCAACTTTTAGCAAATGAATATTGAATTAGAAATTTATTTAAAGTTTATTTAAAGTATACCTTTAGTACAAAAATTAATTTATTAAAGTCATTTTTATGCTTCTGAAAGTTTTTCTTATTGTCACACGGTCAAAAAAGTATGATTGTAAAATTTTATTTTAACCATAAATTTATTAGCTTAATCAAAAATCGAGCTAACATGTTTAAATTGTTGTTGGTCAGATTTTATACTTTTTAAAATATATATATTTCAAGAAAATAACAAAAGAACTTTTGCAATTTTCATGTAATGTAAGACATAATAAAGTTTTGTTTTTCTAAAATTTAGTTAAAAAACTTGAGTTTTTTAATAATATATACGAATGAATATTAAATGGTACATTTTTACATTTAAAGTTTTAAATAACGATGCTTAGTTAAAGCACATTTTTATTTTAAACTTGTGTAACATAAGTTGAAAATACATGCATTTACTAAAGCTCTGGCATGTTTTCGTTAACAAAATGAACTACATCATTATGTAATTCTTATTTCGTTGCCTTGGTTTTTGCCTTTTTTTGACAAGGTTCTGACTAAAACTTTTTCTATTAAGAGAATTTAGAAAAAAAATCTTTTATGATTTTTTTATTATTAACTAAAATTATTTATATTATTGTTTTTTTTAAATTTGTTTATGCATTCTTGTTTTGATTGACATATAAATATACATAAATAAATTTTATTCTTTAAACAAACAACTTTCATACAAAATAGCTAAAAGTTTAATTTACAGTTTAAATTGGCAAATATTTGATAAAGTTGTTGCGTGTGAAACGTAAGTTAAAAATGGAATTGCCCATATGTATGTGTGTGTATATATATATATATATATATATATATATATAATATACATATATATATATATACATATATATATATATATATATATATATATATATATATATATATATATATATATATATATATAGCCTCCTCGTCTGTAGTGCCTTCTTGTCTGTAGTGTATATATGTAGCCTCCTCGTCTGTAGTGGCCTTCTTGGCCTTGGGGAGGTGAATTAACAAAAATATATATATATATATATATATATATATATATATATATATATATATATATATATATATATATATATATGCACATTTAAAGATAAAACATGTTTTTAATTTTCTTAATTCTTGACCTTTTATCAAACTTTATAGTTACATATCTTCATAAAATTTAATTAAAATTTAAACCTGATATATTAACTCCTAATATTCATAGATTGTCCAGACCGGATTTTAAAAATCCGGAAAATTATTTTGGTAAAACATCCTGAAAAAATCTGGAATGTTTTCCTTTTAATTTTGCTTTTAGCTGAATTGTTTAAAATTTTTTTTCAAATTTTCTTTAGTTTTGTATGAGTGATGAGTGAAAAAGCTTTAAAAAGAATTATATTACAAAAATATATATCTAAACTTGTATGTTTGGAAAACATTTTGGATATCCGGAAAAACAAAAAGTTGAAAAAAATGTCTGGAATTCCGGAAATATCTGTAAAAAGATAATCTCTGAATATTTCAGATTTTTAATTAAAAAACTCAAAATTATACTCAACCAATATGTTGTTTGCTTGATCAAACATATAAAACTTAAGATGGTTAACCAATATTAACGAAAAAAATATTGGTTATTAAATATATATAAAAATATGTAATAATTAAATTTATATTCACAACTGATTAATAACAAAACAATTTTAGCATAAAAGATAAAAACTTCTAAGTCTTATATATTGTCTAGTAATTTCTTGTGGTAGATGTATGCCAGTTAAATTGAAGAAACATCCGGGCATTTCACTACAAATATAAACTAACACCTTACAAATAAAAAGTCTTGCTAATCAAAATTACAAATCAAAAACCAAAGCCAAGTTATTATTACCATTAATAACATTATTTTTTTAAATTAGTTATTCACTTCATATATATTTTCTGGGTATATGTCATAAATTTTTCTTTGCTTTGTAACGCATTTATTTCTCTGGTAATATTCAATTCTGTGACTAATTTGAATATTTATTATTAAATTATATTTAATATTATTACTATATTATACTAAATATTTATTATTATTATTAGAGCTATCATTGCTAATTAAATTCTTTAAAAAATTAAGCATGCAACGAAACATGTCTAAATATAATAATCAACTTACCTGTACATTCAGAAACTAATAAATCTGGATTTTCTGGGTATGTTGGGGGACCATGACTCCAAGTTCCTGGTCTACCACAAACATAAAATGGTGGCTTAGGAACTGCCAGCTCATATTTCTCATGACATTTATAATCACAAAACCGACCATATTTCCAAGTACCACATGCATGAATGGAATTATTAGCAGTTTGAAATTCTGAACAATTAAAGGCTAAAAGCAAATAATTTGGTAAATATTATAACCTTAATATGTTAATACATATTTATAATATTGTCAGTAACAAAAAAAAAGAGATTCAAATAATAAAAATAAATACAAAAACATAAAATGTTTGTTGCTTACGTGTAACATTTATTTCAAAAGTACAGGATACAGAATTTTCAAAAGCATCTTTTGCAATATAGGTAATTACATAATCTCCCCAACTAAACAAACCATTGGGAGAATGAGATCTAATCACTTCAACCACTGCAACATCATCATCAAATTGAGGTTCTTTCCAAGTTACAAAAACACTTGACTCCTCAGTGTAAACTTTTATTGGAGACGGACAAAAAACAACAGTGGGTGGTATTTTGTCTATAATATTCAAATTAATTATAAAAGCTTTTTTAAAATTAAAAATTTTTTTTTTCTAAATTTACACAAATCAAAAGTATAGCAAACCTATCTTTGTTTGGCAAAACTTTCCGGTAAACTCGGGAGGACATACATTTGTTCCACAAGTCCAAGTTTCAAGTAAACTAACATTCGGACCAGCATCAGCCATTAAACCAACCCATGGAATTATTGAATCTACCAAAAAAATATTTAAAAAAATGGAACAAAAAATTTAATTAAAAAAAAAACACACACATAACAAAAAACATTTTTTAATTGTTTAAAAAAAAAAAAAATTCATAAATAAAAAAAAAAAATTTAAATAAAAGTAAAAATAACTGTAACAAATTAAATTATAATTATAAATTATAATTATTAAATTATTAAATAATTATAAATTTTAATTATCACCTGATATGTTTCTGGAACAATTTCTAACCAATCCTGCTATCTCTGTTGAATCAAGCACACGTTTGAATAATGCTACCTGGCTTACATCTCCAATAAAACCACTTTCTATAAGCTTACCATCTAAAAGAGATTTACCAATCAAGATTGTTCCAGACTCATTGAAAAAAGTCATTCCAGATAATTCTGCCTTTTGTTCTTCTTGCACAATTATTCCATCCAACACAACTTTAAAATTTAATGTTACAGATGATAATGCAATATAAATGTGATGCCAAACTCCATTGTTAATAACTAGTTTTTCATTGTTTATTTTCAAGTTATCAATCATTACAAAACTAAACTGGTTACGGAATTGAAATCTGATACTACTGTGGCTCATTATAAGAAAAGGACGAACAGTTTCGCACCCAAATCCAAGATTCAAAAAAACACCTACAAAGAATTTTCAAATGTTAAAAAACAAATTATTATATATATTATTGACAATAAACCAATGATAAAAAATACAGTACAAACATAATAGAGCTTAGAAAAAATTTAAAAAAGCATAAAAACACCTCTAGATCTTCCAAGAAATCGAAACCAAAGCGATATAGAAAATTCTTTTGATGCATTTCCTTTAACACAATGCTTGATGTAAGAGCCGTCCCCTCCCGGAAAGGTAATATCAACATCGTCTGGAATTTCTGAGACATTTAAAAATAGTAACTTATATGAGATATAAACTAATTACTAATTAAAATAAAGATTAAATTAAAACCAAATTGAAAAAACATTGCACAAAAACAATTGAAAGTAAAAACAAATATTAAAACCAATACAATATCAGAATCTCAGTGGGTCAGGATCTCATTGAATCATTGTATGTAAATATCTAGTAAAAACTTGTTTTAGATTTGTTTTGTTTAGGAAATGAACAAATCTTATGTTTAATAAAATAAAGTCTTATTGACATTTATGTCAACTAAAAAATTTACATAAAACCTGCATCAACAATTGAATAAGTAAATGTTAAAAGGGCGGAAGTCCAATAATGTAAACTTTCGGGAAACTAAAAAAAACTGCATTTTCCCTGTAGTAAATTTTTGCTAATGGTTCAAAAATTTTTTTTTCGAAGATGAAAAACATTATCTTCTTAAAAAAAAAAAATTAATAAACCATTAAACAAAAATTTATTACGGGGAAAAATGCAGTTTTTTTTAGTTTCCTGAAAATTTTCATAGTTGGACTTCTGCCTTTTTAACATTCACCTATTAGTAGTGGTGTAGTGGTAGAGCGCTCGCTTCATAAACGAGTGGTTCCGAGTTCGATCCCCACCACGTCCCTGGTAGTACCGCGCTCAACTCGTTTCTCCGCGCAGCGGCCTTGCTTGTCAAAGTTCGTGTTTCGGAGTTATAGAGTTGAGAGAGGGTTATAACCACAAATAAGTAGCTTCCTCGTCTGTAGTGGCCTTCTCGGCCTTGAGGAGGTGAATTAAAAATTAAATTATTAAAAAAAATTGAACTATTAACATTGAAACAAACAGAACAAAGTTGACATGCATCAACTATTGAACTATCAGTTGTTAGGTGATAAAAAAAATTGATATTTCTTTCAACAAACATTTGTTTTTATAAAAATTAAGTTCTGGAGAATTTGAAAAAATATTTCAGAAAAGATTTCAGAATTTTAAAACTTTTTTTCTTATTTTTTAAAGGCAAAAGTAAATTTTTTTTAAACTTTAAAATTTAGCAGAAAAAAAAATCAAAAAATCACAACAAAAAAAAAAACAACCATTAAGTAAATAAACATACTTTTTTCACAATGTTTTCCTTTGTGGGTTACAGGGCACTCGCAGACATAGCTGTTTATTAAATCAATACATTTTCCGCCATTTAAACAGCTCACGTTCTTACAGTCATCAATGTTTATTTCACAATCAACTCCAGTAAATCCAGGTGGACAAGTACAAAGGTATTTACCAGGCTAAAAGTTGAAAAATTTTTTTTTTCAAGTTAAAGTTATAATAACTATTTAGTAAATGGATAAAAACAATTAAAATTTGACAAATATGTATTATAATACATGACTAACTATATATATATCTAAATAAATATATATCCAAGTACATGACTAAGGTACTAAAAATATTATTATATTCCATAATAATACACAATTATGGAGTCATAAATTTATTGAGATAATTATTTAAATAACTTGTTTATTTATAGTAATAATTGCAATAAATCAGATCTCCTTACAAAAAAACCAAACATCCAAACCTCTCCCATCCAAACCTCTCCTAAACTCATATCGAGACACAGCTACACATACACAAAATTATCATTAGTTATAAAATACACTCAAATTGATCAAACTATATTCAATTAGCATTAAATCAAAGCTTTTTAAATTAAAATAGTACATTGAAAGCTGTTCTTTATTTTACTGTTTTTTCATTTTTTTAATTATTTCACTAATGCTTTTTCTTTTTTTATTATTATTTTACTATTGTTTTTTTATTTGATTGTTCATTAACACAATTTGATTGTTAGAAATCTAACATTATCATTGATTATCTAACATTAACATTATCATTGTCTACATTGTCTACTAGCCCTCATTTATACACAACCACTTTTTTTCATTGTTTTTGATGACTATTAACTAAACCCTACAGACTAGTCCAAATATTATTTAAAATTTTAGAAAATAAGCGTGTGACCATTTGACACATAAACTTGCTGATTGCGTGTGTGGCACACAAACAGTGAATGCCTGAGGAAAGAATGAAATAAATAGCGGTAAATGAGTCTTCAAAATAAATAGTGGTAAATGAGTCTTCAAAATAAAAAGTGGCAAATGAGTCTTTAAAATAAACCATAAAATAGCTATTTAACGCTCTTCTTTTTCTTCTTATTTTCTTTTTTCTTACACTTACTGTTAACTGTCCAACTTGCTTCGTGGTTACTTAAATCAGAGTTGTTAACAAGGCCATGTTACAAGGCCAGGCCAAGGACTAACAACTCTGGTTACCTACAGCTTTTTTGGGAGTTTAAAAAAAAAAAAAAAAAAAAAAAGACAATTACTAATAAAACAATCAAACATTAACTAACTTATAATAATTAAAAAAAAATCCGCCTTATCAGAAAGTCAAACAAAACTTAACAAACTCTTTGATGAACAATTTGGCAAATTAAAAACATGCAAGTCTTGCAATAATTAAACCAAAATAAACCACATGCTTATCTTAAAAATTAAATGACATTTATGACTCTAATCATCTTGGCAATATATTTTTCTTAAAATAATTCAGAAAAGATCAAAATCTAAATATTTTAAAACTGCATTTTAACAATAAGTTAAATGTAATAATGTCACATGTAAATAATTTAGAACACACATTTTTTCAGCGAATATTTTTTTAAAGACTATTACTATATAGCATTTTGGAGAGAGAGTTTATTAGGTAGTCACAAAATGAAAGACTGCATACATCTCAATACAACCCTAATGAATTATTATTAGCACAATTAATGATTGAATGGGTAAACATCATTCTTTAAGTTTAAATTGTCAATTCAAAAACTTAATGGATTACTTAGATATTGACGCATACAAGAAACATTTTTCTAAATTTCTTGATGCTTTGGTTTTATATTTTTATATTGATAGAATTTGAACAACAAATCCACCTGGTCCACATATACAGATACATAAAATGGAGGTTTTCTATATGACAGTGCAAAAGTTTCCATCCAGATTTGTTTTCAAAAAATTCTTAAGTTTTCAGGTGGACATGAGGTATGTTAAAAACAAATTATGACATTTTATGTAACTCTAGCTCAATTGATAAACATAATGCGCAATTAGACTCTAATGATGGTTATTAATGTCTCTATCTGCAATCAAAAAACAGAAATGCAAGCTTCCTTGAAATTTTTTCTGCCAATAATTTGGGTTACTTTTTACTGTGTGAACAATAATTTTTAAATTAAAGAATTGTTTAAAGTTAAACAATTATTGTTTATTAAATTGTTCTTAGAATACAATTAATTATGTTTCATGAGATGATGAAAAAATAATTCAATCATTATAGAAACTTAAAAAATTTAAAAAAATAAAAATAATAGAAACTTATTAAGTTAAAAATAAAGTTATAAAATAATTATAAAATTTATAATTAGTTAATTCAGTTGGTCAACCTGATTATAATTATATATTATATATTAATTATATATTATATATTAATTATACATTATATATTAATTATACATTGAATATTAATATACCTGATTATAAGGAATCTGGTATTAAACATGGGTGCATTTTCAATAAGTATTTTTTTAAAATTAAATCTGATTCTCTCCCAACAAGGCTACATGCAAACTTTTTAAATTGGAAGTTACTGGAAAACAAAGAATAGAGTTAAAAGAGCAGGGAACCGTTGAATGAAAACATGAAAAGTTTCTGGTTGTATAAGTCAGGAAAACATAAAGATGGTAGCAAGTTCCAAAAGGTTGAAGGGTGGGGGAAAAAACTAGACAAATAAAATTTTTTAGAGCCAGACAGTAAAAGTACAGTAAAAGAATGCTGAATGAGGAGTCAAGCAAGAATGAGTTTTGGTTGATGAAACTAGAGATGATAGCTTCTTTGAGCAGCAACCATGAATAGTATTTTTAGAAAAGAGAATGATAAAGAGAATGATAAAAAAAAAATGTTTGGGCAGAATTTTTTTTAGTAAACCAAAATAATAAATGTATACCAACAAAAATAAACTTTGTTGTTTTACTCGAAGCTCACCGTTTCCCCAGTAGCTATCCTCTGAAAAATATACGCCGCAATCTACAGACTTTATAATTTATTCGCTTTTAAATCTAAAGAGTTTTAGTATATGATGTCATTGTAGAATTTTTTTAATGAATCAATATTATTTGTTGTTTTCTTTGTTTTTTAAAATAGCTTTTATTATCAATCGCCATAAAAAAAATCTAAATTTCAAATTTGGCACATTAAACATTGGTGAATACCAAAACTACGCTGAACTTACGATTTCCGTAACCTTAGTTGAGCTACGCAAGAGTTACGAAAGTTTGGTGAATCCGCACCCAGGTTCTAGAAATTTTTGGAACTTTGGAACTTTTTCCACGTTTTTGACGTTTTTCGTAAAATTATATATATATATATATATATATATATAAATATATATATATATATATATATATATATATATATATATATATATATATACATATATATATATATATATATATAAATATATATATATATATATATATATACATATATATATATATATATATATATATATATATATATATATATATATATATATATATATATATATATATATATATATATATATATATATATATATATATATATATATATATATATATATATATATATATATATATATATATTAGGGTGGAGCTTATAAAATAAAAAAAAATAAAATTTGTATTTTTTAAAGTCTTACCCCCCAAATCTGTTCCATATAACATAGAAACACTGCATAAAAAGTTTGGCTAAGAAATAATTGTTTTTAGGGGTAGCTCAAGTGCCTCCAATATTACAAAAATTATACGAGAAATGAGTCTAATCTATATATTTTAAACAACACAATTAATATTTTTAAACACATTAAATATGAGTTCTAAGCTCAGTTTTTACAGTTTAGGGTATCAGCCTGACAATGTCCAGAGCAAACTCAGGAATTATTGTTTTAAATTCATGGTTTCGGCAGCCCAGACAGAGTTATTTTCCTGCTATCAGGGTACATTCTGCGATGGTCTTCTACGACTTGCAGCAGGAATTGCAGCTGCGTTTCATCGCGTGTTAAAAATCCACTGTACTCTTGAATGAGGGCCACTCCATGTTCAGCGTGGTCATTTACAACTTTTAAAGACTCGACTGTTTCTGCAGCCAACTTGTAGTCATCTCTGTCTTCCGGATCAACTCTTAGAAATCCATATGGCATTTCCATCATTCGGAGCAGATTCATTGACTTTGCTGTGACAAAATCTTCTAAGTTCTTGTTCCCAAATGAATCAAGATAATCAGTGATACGCTTCGAATGATCTTGATCTTGGTCTTCTTCATTTTGCATTGCACTCACCATCAGTCTCTTGGTTGATAAACTGACCCGACTGTCGAAGAAAGCCAAGCTAACAAGTTCCTGTGACAAATACCACAAGTGATTGGAAAACTTGCGTGATGTTGACTTCGAGATTGCTGAATGGATTGATGAATATTCAATCAGTGACTTCAGCAGCAGCAGATCATTATAAGGAGCACCTGATGCTTGAGGTGCAGATATCCAGGCTTTCAGGTAGACACGTACTGTGAATACACACACGTCACGTAATCCTCTCACTTCAGCAGGAGTCAATTTAAATTGAGCCTTAAACATCCAGATCTTGAGACTGTATATGACTTTAGACATCCAGCGGGCATGGTGCATTGCTCCAGGTGACATGAATCGCACACCTCTGGCAGGAGCAGCACCAAGAAAAATAATCACAAGTTCCAAGAATTCTTTATAATCATCCTTCGACTGACTCTGTTCAAGATGCTTGTTGGCATAATCGATAGTATCTTGCTTTATGTCAGCCATGAGACGTTCGACATCATCAGTTGCAATCCCTGGCTCATAATTAGCCGTGTCTATGAAACCCCAGTATTACTGGAAGCGTTTGAATAGTGGAACTTCTGAACAAGATGTTGCTCCCATACACACTTGGAACACTGCACCAATTATCAGTTCCATAATGTGATGCCTACAAGCCAGTGATAAGAGCTCTTTCTCAAGTTTCTGTTCTAGGAGGACATAGGCACCAGCAAGCCGACCAGTATTTGAGCTGGTCGTGTCAAAACACATTGCACAGATGCTGTCAGCTATGCCCCAGTTTTTAATGGCTCTAAAGACGGCAGCAGCCTGTGCCTTGCCTGTGAGTAGCTGAGAGACTCCTTTTCCTGAAACAAATACAGGCAGGCCATCAACTTTCTCTTTTCCAAGTAGATCAGAAATCAGTTTGCCGTCCCAGTGAACAACAAGAGGAACGTTATCCTGAAACTCGGCTTTTATATTTGCAGATCTCTGGACTATGTGTTCTAAATGATGATTTAGGACAATCCTAAATGATGATTTAGGACAGTGCAATTTAGCTTTGTAGTTAAAATTAATTTAACATGAGAATTATTCTGGTATAAGTAATAATATTATGTAAAAATCAAGTGTAGCCAAACCGCAGCTGTCGAGTATCCGAAACTTTATCATCATTGAGCTACCCCTAAATATTGTTTAATTGTTCTCATATTTTGCCTGAATTATTTTTTTATATATAGGAACAAAATGAGAGGGTAAGAAGATCATATTTCAAAAGTTCAAAAATAAGCTCCACCCTAATATATATATATATATATATATATATATATATATATATATATATATATATATATATATATATATATACTACTTAATATCTTTAAATTAAACAATATTATATTTAAATGCTGTTTGAAAAAAATATATATTTCCTTATTTTAAAAAACTCCACTTAACATGCTACATAACCTACTTTTTTTATTACTTGTTTTACTGATTTATTTGACAAGAAAATATTTTTTACCAAATCAGTACAGTTTCCACCATTTTTGCAAGGTAAAGCTTTACATTCATCAATTTCGATTTCACAGCGGTCACCTTCATAACCAAGACTGCAGTTACAATGAAAATCATTAGTAACAAAACGATTTGTACATGTTGAATTATGCCTGCATGGTTGTGGGTTACAGTTATCAATTATTTCAGAGCAGTTTTCCCCTCTAAAAAAATATAACAATTTTTTAATAATAATAAAAATGTCTTAACATTTATGTTGAACAAACAAGGTTGGTTATGTTGAAAATTAAAGTTAAAATAAAAAAATTTACACAATGTAAAACTCCGTCAAGCTTGGCAATTAATGTAAAACTTAAAAAAAATAAAATAAAACAAATTTTTTTATTAGTAATAATTTTTGTTAAAATACCTGAACCCAAGTTTGCAATAACAAATATACCCATTGATAAGATCAGTGCAGTTTAAAGCATTACTATTGCAAGGATCTGGGTCACATTCATTAATATTAGTTTCACAATCACTACCTGAGAAACCTGCTTGACATGTACAAGTATAATTGTTAACTTTATTTGTACAATTTCCATTATTTTTGCATGGCAATGAAAAACAATTATCTATAAGATTTGAACAGTTTCTTCCATCAAAACCAGGTTGACATTCGCACCTAGTATTAATAAATACAATTAAAAATGAAGAATTTCAAGACAAGTTATGAAAAATATTTTAGTAAAAACATCATAAAAATGAACTTGATCATTACATCATCACCTTAATAAATTACTCTTCCTATAGGAGCTAAAAGCAGGAGTTAAGATACTACTCTGCCAAGGAGGCAAGTCAAGGAGTTCTTACAATTACTTAAAAATATTTTACTTTTTATTACTTAAATATTTGAAAATAAAATTTTATAAAAAAAACTTTTTTTTAAAGTTTATTTCTTTCAACCCTATAACTCTGAAATAAAATTATTGAAAAAAAAAGTGGAAAAACCAAACAAGACCAACAAAGAGGAGAAACAAGTTGAGCCTGGTACTGATGAGTTGAGCCTTGTATTGATGCCGTGGGCAGAACTTATTAAACTATTTATATAGAAGTTCATAATCCTAAAAAATATAATGCTTGCTATCGATGTAATTTTAGAATAAGTACTTACAAATAATCTCCAACAAGATCTTTGCATGATCCATTAACACAAGGATTTGGTTGACATTCATTTATATCAATTTCACACTGTTTTCCTTCAAATCCAATATTGCAGAGACATTGGTAATCATTTATCTAAAACAATATTGCAGAAACATTTATAATAATTTATCTAAAACAATATTGCAGAGACATAAGTAATCATTTATCTAAAACGAATAACTTTTTAAACTTGTTCATGATTTATTTAAAAAAGAGCAACAAAACAATATTAGGATAGTAGATATTTATTAAATTATATAACAATAATAAATATAATTATAACAAAGGTAATTATGAAAGTTATTCTGTTAAGTTATGTCTAAATAGAATCCTCCTTCTCCTTTTCTGCATCATCATCATCATCATCATCATCATCATCATCATCATCATCATCATCATCATCATCATCATCATCATCATCATCATCATCATCATCATCATCATCATCATCATCATCATCATCATCATCATCATCATCATCATCATCATCATCATCATCATCATCATCATCATCACCATCAACATGATCATCATCATTTTAAAAAATAGTTCAACTTACCTTATCTACACAAGTAGCATTGTTTGAGCAGGGTTGACTTTCACACTCATTTATTTCAGTTTCACACCTTAGACCAAAATAACCTGGTGAACATTCACATTGAAATCCATTAATTTGATCAACACAGGTTGAATTGTGAAGACATGGAGATGGGTCACACTCATCAATGTTAATTGAACAATTGGAACCTCTAAATCCTGGTAAATGTAAAAAGCAAGTTTATTAACATTTTAATATAATTGAAACAAACTTTAAATTTCAAGACAAAAAAAAACAAAAACAAAAAAAAAACAAAAAAAAAACAGAACCCATTCTGGAGAACCAGGGTAATGTTGAGTTACAACAAAATATATATTACGACAAAATATAAATATAAACTGACAAAAATTGACACATTGAAACTATTTATAATGCATAATTTTGCATAATTTTGGAACAAAGACCAACTGTGTATTGATTAAATCTTATATTTTTTAATTCATCTTTGAAAATAATAGAAACTAGTTATAGAACTTTGGGATTTTAAATTTTGCTTAAAATTTATGAAAAAGAAACTTGATATTTGCGCAAATTTCCACTTATGTCCTTATAACAATTGCTATCCTAAGATATATATATATATATATATATATATATATATATATATATATATATATATATATATATATATATATATATATATATATATATATATATATATATATATAAAATATTAAGTTTAAAAAATGATAACTGCATTTAAAAAAGAAAACATACCATCTATACACCTGCACAAGAAACCATTAACAATATCAATGCATGAGCCATTATTTGCACATGGTTGAGTACTACACTCATCTATATCAGTTTCACAGAGTGTTCCATTAAACCCAGGTTGACATTTGCACTCAAAAGCATTAACTTTATCAACACATGTTGCATTGTTAAAACAAGGAGACATAGCACATTCATCAATATCAACATCGCATAACTTGCCTACATAACCTGGTATACAATTGCATTTGAAATCATTAATCAAATCTTCACAAGTTGAATTTTTCAAGCAAGGATTTGGTTCACATTCATTTTTGTTTATCTCGCATCTAAAAAACATTCATAATTAAAAATGGATCAAAAATATATATAATTAATGTGGTTATCAGGTGTTAAAAAAGTAATTTTTACTTTTTTTTTTATAAAATGACATGACATAAAATATAATAAAGTTGTAACACTTAAAATAAAATTATAACACTGCATTTTTTTACTCTTTATCAATAATTTTTGCTTTTTGGCAACTTAAATAGTGGTTGCTTGTGATCTTGTACATAGTAAAAAAAAACAAAAAAAAAAAAAATTTAGTCTCAAAAGAAACAAAATTCAAAAAATAAATAATAATTATAATACAAAAGTAATAAACAACATTTTCTTAATTAATAAAAAAAAATTCTTTAAAATTGAGTCAGTCTGATACATAAAAGAAGTAAATTGTATAAATATTTAAACAATAAAAATGTCTTAATTTTAATAATTTGAATAAGTAGCATGTAACCAGGGTTTCATCAAAAATAAAAAGATTTATAATTTATGAGCTATTTTATTAGAGTTATTATTTTTACAAAATATGATTATTATTTTTAAAATATTTGTATAAATTTGCTTCTATAGAGACCCAGAATGATATACTGTTGATAATTCATTTTTTAATACTATTAGGAACCAATTTAATATTTAAAAGTCTTGAGCTACCCCTTGAAAAAATTTTATCATAATTTTTATCATAATGTTTTTGAAACTAGGCTTTACTTTATTATGTAAAACACATTAAGGGGGTAAGATATTATTTCACAAAATTTTAAGGAACTCCCAACCCTAATACTATATATAAAAAGGTTTTGTTTTATAAATTTGATTTTTATAAATTTGAACACAAAAGGTGACATTTTTAGGTGAAAAGTATCAAATCAAGCATTGAATCAGAAGTGTCATGGAAATCATTTAAAACCTTGTGTGGTTTTGTTAAAGTGTAAATATTTTTAAATTATTACTAATCTAAAATAAAAATAAAAAAAACACACCAATAATGATTCATATCTGAAAGTGTTAATTAGTTAATATATATAATATAATATATATAAGTGTTTACGCTCTATTGTTAGTTACTTGCACTCTTTATTGTAAGTTATTTACATCCTTTTTTGTATGTTACACCTTTAATTGTAAGTTATTTACACCCTTTTTTTAAACATTGTCAATTATTTTATGAATAGCACAGTCATGAGAAACAAACAATTTTGAAAATATTGACAAGTTTAAAACAAACAAGTTTACAACTATGAGAACTTCAATTGCATACCTTTTACCTTCAAAACCAGCAGCACAAAGACATTTAAAATCATCAACAAGATCATTACAAATTCCACCATTTCTGCAAGTATCATTTTTGCAATCATCAATGTTTGTTTCACACTGTTTTCCAATTATTCCTTTAATGCAGGTACAGTTAAAGTCGTTTATGAGATTTGTACAAGTGCCGTGCCTACCACAAGGAGAAGAAGCACATTCATCAATATCAACTTCACAGTTTACACCTGTCCATCCAGGCTTACAAGTACAAGTGTATGAGTAATTTCCTGCGTTGCAAGTCGCTCCATTTCTACATGGCTTTTCATCGCATGCATTTTTTGCTAAATATTTATAATACTGTAAACATTTTGTATAACTTATTTAATTTTGCTCATAAACATTTTTTAATGGAGATTAAATTTGATGCAAAACTTCACTAATGAAAATTAAATTCTTTTTTTTCTAATTCAACTCATTTCACTTACATCACACTTACACCCTCGACCACCACTCTAGAAAGTAATCTTTTTTCTTCTTTTTTGCAACTCTATTTGCAACTCTATTTGCAACTCTAATTCAACCCAAAACTCTGAAACACTAACAAGGCCAAAGAAACAGGTTAAGGGATTTACATAAATTAGAAATAGACAAAAATGAGTGTTTCAATAATTCAAGAGTTGAAAAATAATTAAAAAAACCATTGTTTTAAAATAGTTAAATTTGAAAACATACATGGGCAATTAGCTTCACTTGTTGCACCCTCCATACCAAGATAGATACCTCCTGAAGGACACAGTTTGCAATATGATCGCCCTATTTCATTTTGAAAGAGTCCTTTAGCACATTTTGTACAAGGCTCCAAACCTGTGGATGAATAAGTACCAGGAGAACATTGGGCTATAAAAAAAATATTACAATTTTGATATTGTTTGAACTGTTTATTATTATACTTACATGTTATTAAATTCGTATTTAAACTGTATATACAAATATACATATATATACATATATACACAAACACACACACAAACACACATATAAGTGTATATATATATATATATATATATATATATATATATATATATATATATATATATATATATATATATATATATATATATATATATATATATATACATAAATATATATACATATATATATATATATATATATATACATATATATATATATAAATATATATATATATATATATATATATATATATATATATACATATATATATATATAAATATATATATATATATATATAAATATATATACATATATACATATATATATATATATATATATATATATATATAATATATATATATATATAATATATAATATATAATATATATATATATATATATATATATATATATATATATATATATATATATATATATATATATATATATATAATATATACATATATATATATATAAATATATATTTAAAGGTTATTGATATAAATTGAAAAAAATACCTTTGCATTCTGAGATATTTTCTGATCCACTTCTTGATGTTGTAAGGTTATAAGGACACTTAATGCAATTATATGCACCAACTTGCGATTGATACTCACCATAGTCACATTTACGACATGTTGGTTCTAATCCAGTAGATGAATAGCTACCAGCAGCACACATCTCTAATAAAATTACTTTAATTAATAGGGTATTAAGAAAGAACTTTAATTGTGGTTACAACCCTCTCTCACCTCTATAACTCGGAAACTCGAACCTTGATGAACAAGGCTGTTGCATGGAGAAACAAGTTGAGCATGGTGCAACCAGAAATGTGGTGGGGTTAGAACTTAGAACTTCTTGTTTATGAGGTAAGAGCTCTACCACTACACAACTACCGCATAATTGTAAAAAACATAACAACTATCATAACCAATATTGATAATGATAATAAGATGATCAACGATGATCATTGTCATAATAAGATGAGGAGTATTGTCATATTCCTCACTTTATTATGATGATTATCACCATCATCATTGTCATCATCATCAACATTATCATCATCATCATCACCATTAACATTACTAACATCATCATTATCTAACATTTATTAACTTACTTGTGCATGAATCAGATTGAACTTTTAAATTATTTGTTTCGTTAGGACAACGTTTACATTGATCTGCAAATTCAAGATCATTATAAAATCCAACAGGACAATTTAAGCATTTGTTATTTGTGCTATTGTGATACATACCCAAGCCACATGGGACTAGAAAATTTTTTTTTATTATCATTCATTTTGTTAAGTTTTTAAAATAATAATAATAATAAAAAAACAAAAAACAAAAAAAAACTCACTGCAATAGCTGGCTTTAACAGTTAGTCCTGTTGTTTTTATTAGATGTCCAGTAGGACAGCAATAACTTTTATTTAATGGGCAGCAACTACTTATATTTAAAAGTTTAATGTCAACAGATGAAGTTAATTGAAGTAGATTTGTTTTAAAAAGGTCAAGATCTTTAAGTAAAATTGTTTTGCACTCTTCCAAATGACCGTTCAGTAAAGGAATAACACCATCATCATGAGATAATATTTTGAAATCTCCAGCTACTGATGTACCATTTGAAATTAAGTTACCTGTTTGATAAATAAAAGAACATGTTGAATTCTTCAAGTTATTCAAAAAAGTAAAGATATCTAAAAATGGTTTTTCATTTGTATTATCCCCAGTAGTTGTGAAGTCAATTGATAAAGATCCTTTTAAGCATGAAATAAGTGGCTTTCTTTCTAAAAAAGTAGAAAAAAAAGAGTTTTTTTTTTGTTCTACTTGAAATAATCACACAAAAAAACAATTGAAAAACAATAATAATAACAAAAAACATCATCATAATTATCATCATTATCTTACATTAACTTTTTTGTGCATGAATTAAGCAATATATGAATACTGACCTACGCATCCTGATGGTGACTTGTTCTCCCATCCTTTATTAGGTATACACATCACATTACTTGTTTTTTCAAATTCTGTGTTGGAAACAAATCTTGTTGTTTTATTTTGAAAACAATTTAAATTACAAGAAATAATTACTGTATCAGGCACCACCCCAGGTGCAATTGTACACACTGATTGACCATTCCGCTGCTTGTAATCACAAGTGCGCTGAGTACATCCGCAACCTTAATTTAAAATAAAAAAATATTATTATAAATATTTATGTTAGCAAAGCACATATTTGTGCTTGCCCACGAACGTTTCTAAGTGCTCAACAAAAAAATAAAAGCCTTTTTTAAATTGAAACAAATCTTTTTTGTTTAAAAGAAAAATTTTTTTATAAAGAATTTAAATAGCAGTATTAATTTTTAAAATTGCACACACCAGACTGATAATAGCACAAAAGATTAATTCTATTTACAGTAGAGATGCTATGGGTAGAGTATAAAATTTTATGATGTTTGATTTTATTTTGTTGATTTTTTTTGTTTGTATTCAATACTATTGAGCTTTCCTTCATTATATCATTTTCTTTAAATATGTTAACTAGAAATTTCAAATTTCAATTTACACAAATTTGTCTGGTAATCCAAACAACACAAGTATAAAACCATAAACATTAAACTTAAAAAACATATAAAGAGAAAAATTTATATACAACTATATAATAAAAACAAACCTTCTACATATATTTCCATGACACAACTGTCAGAGTTCCCAGAAATATCTTCTACTGTCATTGTAACTTTGTGGTATTTATTAGACTCTAGGATTGTACCATTTGGTGGGTTAAAGATAACATTTTTTATACCAACATTATCAGTGTATATACCATCAGACCAAAACACCTTTGATGATAAGTCACTTTTAATGACAATATTTTTAGGACAAAATATCTTTGGAATTTCTTTGTCTAAAATTTGAAATAAAATTATATATATCTGAATATATTTTACATATACTGTGTTTATATATATATATATATATATATATATATATATATATATATATATATATATATATATATATATATATATATATATATATATACATACATACATACATACATACATATATATATATATATATATATATATATATATATATATATATATATATATATATATATATGTTTTAAAGCATTAAGCTGCTGGCAATTTATATACGCGTTAAGCAATTTTATGTACATCTAAAGCAATTTCCATTAACCGCCTTTTTATCATTTTTTAGTGTTTAAATTATTCTATACGCAGTAAGATAAAAGGAGTGAATAATTTTATGAAAACTACTTTAACTTTTGAATGACAATTATGTAAAAATATTTTGTACAGAAGTTTGAATGACAATTATGTTAGATATAAGCGCCATTTACTAATAAAAAAAAATTCAAATCAAATTAAAATTTGCAAACATCGGCATAAGTGTGAATTGGCATAAGTGCAAACTGGCATAAGTGCGAAGCAGTTACAAAAATATAGCATAAGTATGGCATAAGTAAGAACTGGCATAACTGCAAATTAGCATAAGTGCGCCAATTTGCACTTATGCTAATGTTTGCAAAATGTTTTGGCGCACTTATGTAAATTCGCACATATGCCAGTTTGCACTTGTGCCAGTTATGCAACTGCTTCGCACTTATACCAGTTCGCACTTATGCCAATTTGCACTTATGCTAATGTTTGCAAAATGTTTTGGCGCACTTATGTAAATTCGCACATATGCCAGTTCGCACTTATGCCAGTTTTTGCAACGCTTTACACTTATGCCAGTTCGTACATACACCATTCGCACTTATACTAGTTCGCACTTATGAAAGTTGCGCTTATTCAGTCATCCCTTTAAGTGTACTTCTACACAATTAGATTGGGTTTTCCCCTTTTTAAAAAACCTTTGCATTAACTGGCTTGTGATTAAACTAAAAATTGTAATCAAACGAAGATTACAGCTTTTTGGCTTTGTTTATTTTCTATTTCCATTAAAATATTTTATTTTTATGTACCGTGAAACCTAAAGTATTTTTACTATTTCTTACTAAATCCAAAAGGAAAAATAGTATTTTTGGTTATAAGATATTATTAGCAGAACTTATTTTTAACAAATATCAATTTAATTTTGAATTTAAGTATCTTATATCTATAGCATTAGTATTAGTTTTTTTTTTTAATACAAAATAATTATAAGTTGGGCTTTTAAAGAGTTTATTTATTGATCGCCTTATTTTTAATCGGTTTAAAGTTTGGTTCGTTTTATAAAAAAAAATTCTACTGCATTAAACTTAACTGCAAAGGGAAAACCCAAACAACATTTAAACTCGAGTTTGTAAGTACTTTTTTTGTATGACGTCATTTATTAACTACAATTATTAACTACAAAAGTGCATTATTTAAACCAGTATTTGGAACTGGAACATAACTGAAACTTAACTGAAATTAAAATGAAGTTATATGTAAAGCGAACATTTTAAAGTTATTTGAATTAAATTTATTAAATTTTTATTTATTTTAACATAAATTTTGGAAATTTTATCAGTAAAAAAAATTGTAAAGCGGAGCGTTTTGAAATTTTTAAAAAAATTTTAATTAAATTTAATCAAATAAATTACTAAAACTATGAATAATAATAAAATTAAATCAAATTTAATAAAATAAATTAAAAATACATTTTTTTTAAAAACGGAAAATAGAAAAAAGGATATCTGTTTTTTTATCTAAAAAAAAATATTCCACAAACACTTTTTTACAAAATTTAATTACAGTTTAATGTTTTTCGCTTAATCTGTTTTAAAAGACTGTTTAAAATAAACTTATTCAAAAAAGTTTTTGCGTAATGTAAATTGCAAAACGCATACGTGAAATCGTGAATATGCACGTAAAACTCAAATAGAGAAACGCTTCTTAACAACCCCTGCATTCATGTAGACAGAAAAAAAAACTATTCATAAATTTTCTTTTAAAAACATTGTGATATTTGCATGTTCTATTAGAAAATTTATTCACTGTTTTATTTTTTAACAAAAATTAAAATATTTCAACAAGTTGTTGTGTAGTTAGTTACTCAAAAATATGTGAAAACTAACGTAAATTTAAAGTTTATAGAGTTTCTTTTGGAAAATCAATTTTTAAAAGTAGAAGATGTAAAAACTGGGTTAAAGCTAATGGATTAGCCTAATCCATCTGATTTCTAACTCCGATTTCTAGTTCAATCTAAATGAGAAGAGAAAAGTATCTTATGAAGCTTTATGTAAAGAACAACAATCAGTTGACTATCAGCGATATAGATCTTGATAACTATACTGAGGAAATACACCAAACCACCAAGTCTACTATTTCAAAATATTATTAACACAATATTTATAAACTTTTTACTTTTAATTAATCAATCAACAAAACTTAATTAAATTATTGAACTTGAAAAAATAAGCTTTACTTGAACAAAGTAAACATATTTCATATCAAAATGTAATACCAGAAGAACAAAATAATTTTTTTTAGTCTTATATTAAAGAATTTAATGTCTCTCTTCAAAAGAGTTAAAACTTGGTTCACTTGCGATTGTTGTTAAAGGACCATTTTAATAATGTGCTTATAAAACTAAAACAAAGTCCATCAAATAAAGATACTGCTTTTCTGCAGTAGTCCTACAATAGTGTATTATCTTAAAAAAATAATACCAATTTTCTGCTAGAATTGTTAATCTGATTTTTTTGCCAAATTATAAAGCAATAAAGAATAACCTACAAAAATATTTTCAAAAAATAATTTAAAAACTGTATTGTTGGTTGTACTGAAGTTTTTATTGCAAGGAAAATTTTTTGACTTTACAATAGCAAATTTGGTTCAGTTATAAACATGTTAACATTTAATTTGTAACTGATAATAAAAAACATCAGTTTTTTTGCTGAGGCAATTAGTTTATTATCTTCTGGTTGAAGTGGTTGTGTATCAGACAGATTACTATATCAAAATGAACTTTTATCAGAACCATAAAGCTAGAGCTATATACTTGCTGACAGAAAAAAAAGCTGAAATTATGAATAAATAAGAATAAAAAGCTGAACCAGCAAAACAAATTCCTATTGATTGCTACTATTATTTAATAACTACTGTTTCTTTTATGTAAAATAATTTGACTGTATTTTTAGGTTACCATATTTATTAATTTGGTGAATAAAGTCTTCTTTACCAACTTGAGTTTAGGTTTACTACTATTAACATTAAAGATGCTATAGAGGCAACAATAAAAATCATAACTTTTACATAAGAGTATAATTATCTGGTGGCAAAGAAATCTAGACAGCTTTCTAATGTTCAGACACATGTGAATAGAGTAATTTAATGTATAATTTTTCATGTATGATTTCTCATGATTTATGCAACTTTGTGGAGCAATTTATTTGATAAAACCATGTTTGATATAATAATACGTTTGTTTGTCTTAATATGGGTGTAGTTAATTAATATAAATGTATATTATATACAGGGTGGCCAGCAAATTTTTATGTTCATTTTCCATGAATTTTCCCTGACTTTTATAAGAAGAAGCTAAATGTAATGAAAAGAAATGTGAAAAAGACTTGTTTGTGTGTTTTTATGTAATAAACTTATGAATGTATTCATAAAAAGATGTGACGTTGCACGGAAAGTCATCTATTAAGCTAACTATTTTATGAAATATTTAGTAATAGAAAACAAAATTGCTTATAGTTAACAACAATTTTATTTTTTGTATACAAAGTTATTAAATGAAACACAAACAAAAAAAACCATATAAGAAATATGTGTAATAATAACTTTCATTTATCATCTTGCAAGCACAAGAATATTTATACAACTTTAAATTGCAATAAAAAAAAATTTACCAATAATAAAATAAAATAATATATGTATATATATATATATATATATATATATATATATATAAAATAGGAATAGTTATATTGAAATGTTTACTTATTAATATGTCTAATGGCTTCCTGATGAACTGATAGTTAAACAATTTGTAGGGTAAGGTACTTGCTTTTGAGGAAACTTTTGAATTTCAATATACTACCAGTGGTGTAACCTCCGGTTTTTTACCGGTCACTTTGAGGGTGACTAAAACAGTTTTTATTTATCACTTGAGTCACCCGCAATAATAATCAGTTGTCCGGTGTAAAAGTTTTTATTCTCAGCTGAAAAAACTGAAGAAAAAAAACTTAAACGCCTGACGTCTAAAAACGTTTAATAAGAATCAGTTTATTATTAAGTAAATTAATTAATTTATTAATAAAATTAATTAAAGAGGAGTTGTCTTTTTTGTTGTAGTCGATATGGTTTTGTTTCTTTTTTTCAATTTTTACAAAGATTCCATTAAGTGAATCAAAAATGTTGAAAGCCATAACTGCAAAGAATATTTTATATATAGAAAAATACTCTATTATTCTCTCAATACTCTATTATTCTCTCAACCTTAATAAAAAAATACTTTATTATTCTCTCATCTTTCAATCAAATTTAATTTAGTTGAATGTTTATTTTATAAAAAAAGAATTTCCGTGTGCATTCTGAATTGCACATGGAAATTCTTAACAATAGTTTGCTCAATCTTAACAATAGTTTTTCATGTGCATCTTAATGTTTTTTATTATGTTAATTTTAATTGATAAAGTAACATAAAAATTTATTTTACTAATGAAAAACAAGAAATTCAGTACTATTCAATTAAACTGCTCATTCACGTGATTCAAAATGGACAAAAATTAGTATATAGAACAGTTATGTTTTGTTTTATCTCCTGTTTATTTATATATCATACTCTACATACTTATATACACATAAAAAGTCATTGATGACATAATGTTAGATAGGGATAGGGTATATTATATATGATAAAATAAGGATAGAATAAAGTATGTCAACTGTACCTTTTTTTTTT